TGAAAAACCAGTATCAGTGCATCCCTAATTTTCATCCATACTGTCATTATTGGGCACAGCCTGAAATGAAGACAGACACAGTTTTTGTTTTATCCAGCTGTATTTACTCAATGCAACCTATAACACCCATAACATGTCAGAAAAAAATAAAACTAAATTCAAAAACAGAATCACTTATTTGGAAAAAGGATCACCCCAATGTGTGTAATTTGCTTCATCTGTTGAGATATGTGTTTACTAACTTTGCACATTTAGACTTTGCAATATTTGCCCACTCTTCTTTGCAGAACTGCTCAAGTTCAGTTAAATTAGATGGTGACCATTTGTGGACTGCAGTCTTCGAGTCATTTCACAGATTGTCGATGGGGTTTAAGTCTGGGCTCTGACTAGGCCATGCAAAGACATTTACCTTTTACTCCTTCAACCACTGTGCGGTCATTTTTGCGGTGTGCTTTGGGTCGTTATCATGTTGGAAGGTAAACCTTCTTCCCATTGACAACTTTCTGGCAGAGGGCAGCAGATTTTCCTCAAGAAGTTGACGGTATTTTGCCCTATCCATTTCTCTATCTATGCCGACAAGTGCTTTAGTCCCTGCTGCAGAGAAACACCCCCATAACAGGATATTACCACCTTCATGCTTTACTGCAGGAATGGTGTTATATGGATGGTGAACTGTATTGGATTTCTGCCAGACATATCGTTTGGTGCTGAGGCCAAACTTTCAGTTTTAGTCTCATCTGACAATAACACCTTTTTTCATGTGGCCTCAGAATCTTCAAGGTGCGTTTTGGCAAAGCTCAGTCGTGACTGCATGTGGCCCTTCTTGGGAAGTGGCTTTTTTCTTGCAACCCTCCCATACAAGCCACATTTGTGGAGATTTTGTGATATTGTTGTCACATGCGCACAATGTCCACTCTTTGTCATAAATTCCTGCAACTGCTTCAGAGTTGCTGTAGGCCTCTTCGTAGCCTCTCTGACCAGTTTCCTCATGGCTCTTTCATCCAGTTTGGAGCGACGTCCTAAACTAGGGAGGGTCTGTGTTGTAACAAATACCTTCCACTTTTTAATAATAGACTTCACTGTGCTTTTAGGCATTGATAAAGCCTTTGACATTTTTTTTTATCCATCTCCTGACTTGTGCCTGTCCACAACTTTTTCCCGGAGAGCTTTTGACAGTGCCGCCTTGCCACCTATAGTTTGTTTGCTTCAGTTGCACTAGCAGGGACTGAAATGCTCCAGGAAAGCTCTGTTCATGCTGAGCTAATCACAATGACCACAGCTGATCAAAGTTGAAAGTCATATGGCTTCGTGTGCCATTGAGAAGGTGATAAGCTACACCTGATTGAGTTTACAAGTCATTTTTAGGAGGGGGTGATTCTTTTTTCAACTCAGTGATTCTGTTTTTGATTTTTTTTCTCCTTTTTATATAGTGAAAAATGTGTGCCTGGAGTTCAGCATTAGGCCCCATTCACACGGGCAGTCCGATCAAGTCCACCTGCCAGTTTTTCAGGTGGACCAGATCAGATGCCCAATGCTAGTCTATGGATAGCCAGGTCTAAACGGACGGGCAACCATTTACACACGGTTAAACGGTCTATACTGCTCTGTTCAGGAAGGGATCCGTAATCAGCCCACGTGAAAGGGGCCTAAGGAAGAGTGCCAAGGAGTGTTCTGTCTACTTAACAAGAAAAGTGTATAGCTAAAACACTGAGGGGCTTGTGTGCCAAACAAAGACTTAGGGGTCTATTCACAAAGCTGCCGAAGGATCTGGCCGTAGCTTCGGCCGATCCTTCGGCTGGCTTCGGCCCCAGGACCCCTTCGGTTCAGGAGAACCGAGGGGGTGCTGTACGGGCTATTCACAATAGCCCGTACAGCTCCCGATCACGGCCGAGCAGCTCAGTCGAGCGCTGAGCCGTGCTGAAAGCCGAAGCTGGCCGAGAACTAGGCTGCCCTCGGCAGCTTTGTGAATAGACCCCTTAGTGGTGATACTGCCTTTATATTTTGATTGGGTTGTTGACAGGTCACCTAACAATAGCTTTTTTTTCTTCTCTGTACTGTGTTATATTGCATGGCTTGTCTCTTAACTGCACTGAGTGTGTGTGCACACCTCTCAATTGCTAACGTTTGTCATTAATGAGGTCACATCTGTACAGTAGAGGCAGAAGTGGGCTGTGACATACCCTAAACAAAAATTATGCCATCTTTATAAATGACCAGATTGTTACAGTATATCTTTTTTTTTAAACTTCTTTAACAAATGCCTTTTGCCTAAAGCTGGCCATACTCGCGTGTGAATTTCAGCCATGTGTGGCTCTGTTGGTACCACTCTGTACAACAAAAATCTATTTTTCAATCCACCTTTGTGGAAGTAGGCGTGGCAAAAATTGTTGGCCAAACAGTGAGTGCAGCGAATTAGCTAAAGTCACTGCTCAGCTATTCTGACAGCTGGGAGTGCCAGCTATCAAAATACAATAGCCTGGCAATGGGGTGTTCCCCCCATAAACATTCACCAGTGTGGGTGTGGATATCCCCCGAACTGCCAGGCTATTGTATTCTGATAGCCGGAAATACCCCCGGGGCTGAACAAGAAACTACTAGTGTATGGCCAGTTTATATGTCAATGATGATCTACTGGCTTTAAAATTTTCTGATTCGCTGACCTGAAACAATAGGGCAAAGGGCAACCAGCGAAGGGCAACCAAACTAATTAGGGGTATGGAGGACCAGAGCTACGAGACGAGGCTACTAAATTTAAACATGTTCACATTAGAGGTGAGGAGATTAAGGGGGGATATGATTTCCATGTACAAAATGTTTAATGGTGGTAGCAACATTAGCGATAAACTGTTTAAAATTAACTCCGTTACAAAAACTAGAGGCCATCACCTAAAATTGATGGAAAAAAAATTCCAGCACAAGGGGCGAAGGGGGTTCTTCACAGTAAGATCAGTTAGGGTCTGGAACTCACTGCCACAGGCGGTGATTTCAGCAAATAATGTGGAATTGTTCAAGAAACTTTTGGACGATTTCTTAAGGGACCGTAATATACAGGGGTACGGGTACTCCTAGAATGAGATCCTAATAGGTTGGACTTGATGGACTAATGTCTTTATTCAACCTCAAATACTATGTAACTATGTAATAATTTTGTTGGAAAGTTAGAGAAAAGGTAGAGCTTCTGACCTGCATATGTGTTCTGGATCAGTATCCTTGAATACACTGATGCCAGATGATCAGTATAGAAGCCAGGAGACTAACTGAGAGGTTGGCTGTGGCAGGCTCCCTTAGAATGGGTTTCCTTTAAGTGTTTTTATGAGACGGCATTAGAGGTGAATCATGGAATCGATGAATGAGCTCAGATTATGAATCGGCAATGTGACATGGGGCCATAATTGAGAAGAGCAGAGAAGCTATAAATAACTCTAGAGTGAACACACTGCAATAGGAGATGATATGGTGACAATGGAAATATGTAATGAGTCACAAGTCACACTCTGTTCCTTTGCAGTGTAGATATCTTTAGAACATAATGCAAAGGGTGCTTTTGGTGTACGTTCTACAATGACTACCCAGTGTGTGTGTGTACAATATACACCATATAGCCAAAATATTGTGGACAACTGAGTCTGACCATCTCATTTATAGGACTAAGAGTATGTGGACATTGTTTCAAATTATTGATGAGTTCAGGGTTTCATGAAGGGGGCTTTTAATGCTACAGCATACCCAGACATCTTAGACAATTGTGGGCTTCCAACCTCATGGTAACAGTTTGGTGAAGGTCCTTTTTCTATTCCACCATAACTGTGCTTGTGTACAAAGTCAGCTCCGTAAAGACATGACTTGATGGGTTTAGGTTGAGCTTGAGTGGCCTACACAAAACCCTGACATCAACCTTACTGAACATCTTTGGGATGAATAAGAGCACCAGTTGTGAGCCAGACCTTCTCATCCACCATCAGAACCTGTCTTTAACCCTAGTGAATACCCCTGGAATAGATTGGAGCTCCAATTGTGAGGCTCATCCAACATCAAGCTGACCTCACAAATTTTCTTTTGGCTGCATGGACACAGAGGGGTTGATTTACTAACCTTATAAACACGCCACAAACAAGTATACACCTCTGTAGTGTGTTCCCTCCCAGCATGATCTATTGGTGGAATCTAGACACCTTTGTAGTGTGTACACACCCAGCAGGTGTGTTGTGCAAAGCCCTGCAAGAATTGCAAGGTGATGTTGTGTAAATTAGCTCTACGTTGTGTTGCTTGCGTTGATGAATGCAGGAATGTAAATGCATGAGCTAACCATTTTTGTCTAAACTGTGAAGCAGCATTATATATACATCATGTGCATGATTTTTCCATATATGGCATTAGTGGAAATATGCTTTTAGAGACTTGCATGCCGCTATTAGAGCGGCGTGTAGCCTATGGTACATGCTACATGACACGCACGTACGTAAATACATAAAAACGCACCATAACGGCGTGAAAATGTGACACATTGCTCGTGTTTGGTTGATACGTTTTGCAGTGTAAAAATCACACGCACCTGGTGCGTGAGTGTGTTTAGGTTAGTAAATCACCCCCAGAGTCTTACAGACTCACTTCAAAATCTTGAAGAAAACTTTCTCAAAAAGATAGAGGGTGTTATAGCTACAAAGGGGACTTCATATGTATATCCATTGTTTTGGAGTAGAATGTCCAACAAGCTCCTATAGGTGCGATGGATAGGTCTCCTTAAATTTCAGGTGAAGGAACGTGAGCCATACATGCAGCATATCTACAAGGCCTCCTTTGAGGACATGGCTGGTCTTCCTATCACACTTGTGTTTGTAGAATGTACTGCAGCCATGAAAGTCCTTGCTCGATGACTATGTTAGATGTGATATCAACATTCAACCTTATGTACTTTCATTAGAGGCAACAATCATCTTGCTTTCTGACTGATGCATCCTATGTCTTTTTAATTTTAGTGACAGTGTTTGGTTTTCTCCTAGACCCAAGACACAGATGACCCAGAAGATGTTGACATTTCCATTGATAATGCGGCCTTTATGGATGACTTCTTTATCCAGGTAAGAAAATTACAATGCAATACAATTACTTTAAAGAAGACATTTTAATGTGTTTACATATGCCTCACTTAGCAACATGCTAATTATATATTTTAAATAAAACCTTTATAGAACCCACTGGAATTTGGTGTTTCTAGATAGGGTATATTTGCATGCAGACCACTCTATGTAACACCCACATGTGATGCTGAACCTCCATGATTGAAAGAACTGAAATCCAATGAGTGAAAGGGATGGGCAAGGAAATGAGGCGGTCTCTCTGACTTGCTGCAGCTTCTAATGTACATTTTAAGAAGCTCACAGTGTGAAGTAAAATCAGAGTAAGTAAATAAAAAATATATATAATTGCTTTTTCATGGCGTCTGTGGGTTTTATTTATTTTTATGCTACTTTTGCTTGTGGATGAGTAACATAGGGATATTTGGAGGCCCACATATCTTAAATGGGACTTCCAGATTGCGCTATGTTCCGCCCTTCCTCCTGCAGAACCCCACATCCACCACGCCAGGAATGTGGGGATGGGACTCTTTCCCCCATCAATGACAGTGATGAGGACATGTGCCCTGGTGTGGTTCAGCCGGTGGTGGCCCACAGTGACTGCCCCCCCCCCCCCCCCTTTTATGGCCAGCCAGACTGCATGCTTTCAAGGGTCTGGTATAGATTTTGAAGACCCCACAATTTGTTTTAGTTCTAGCTGTATGTCATTCTTTCTGTTTGTGTCTGTGTTTGTCTCTTTATATCTCCACAAAACTTCGTATTGCATGTCACTACCGCCACTACATGGAGCTGAGGAGCATAAGAGATTTTAATGCTTCTTGACTTCATCAAGTGGTGGCAAGTCCTTGCAAGCAGCATTCACCAAGCTATTCACCAGGCAAAAGATTGATAAATCTGCCCCTTAGTGTCTGTCAATCTGTTTTTCTGCTTATATGAGTGCCTGTCCATCTGGCTCTATTTTTATGTGTCTAATATGGCTTCATTACACGATCTTTAGATTAATTATTAACATAAGGCTTAAAATCTTTGGAATTCCAGCTCCTGTAGTATCCAGTAGTGATGGGCTCGGGCGTGTTCGCAAGCGCCTCGTACCGAGCCCACCAGGAAGCCATCAGCGCGCAGGGCCAATCACAGGCACTGAGACATGTTCCCGATCTCTGCAGCTGCGGACTGGGGACATGTCTCAGTGCCTGTGATTGGCCCTGCGCGCTGACGGCTTCCTGGCGGGCTCGGAACGAGGCGCTTGCGAACACGCCCGAGCCCATCACTAGTATACAGGAGTTGTCTTTACCATTCACAAAACCCACTACTTGTTCAGAAAGATAATGGCTTTGTAAACCTACAGGGGTCCTATATTTAAGCTTCTAAGTCAAGGTACAAAGACCAATCTCCATACAAGGAATAGAACATGTGCAATTAAATAAAAACTAACAAAAAAAAAATCAAAATATTACAAGCAGCTGGCAAAATGTACTTAAATTAACCACATAAATACCGGCATGTTACAACTCCTTCCTGTCCAGGCCCTTTTTTTTCGTTTTTAGTGCTGCGAAAGTTTGACCAACAATTATTATAATTTTATAAAATTTGTATTATTAATTTGCATACATAGAACTTGGCCATGATGGTATTTATAAACCACTGTTAATTTTTCTTCTTGAATTTTTTTTACTATTGTGATATTTGGGGAATTTAGTACATGTGGTGAGCGCTTAAGGACTAGTCTCAAAGCCGTTTTAACAGAAAAAGGACAGTCTTTTATTTATTTTGTAACAGAAGATATCTTATCTTCAGCAGTACAACATAAAGTATGCTTGCATTTCAGCAAACAGATTATCGCACCATTCCCAGGTTGTCCCATTCAGTCACAGTGTCCCAGTCCTAAGACTTTACTTTTGACTCCAGCACACACACCTTGTGTGCCTGGCTCTCTCAGCCTCTCCAAACCTTCCAGCCTCCCAGGTGTTTCCTGTGTTCCTCTACCACACCACCTGGCTTGGCCCTCCTGTACCCCCAGCACACAACCCAACAAATCCTCCCTTGAGCTGCTCTCAGGCTTAATGAGGCTGATCACCGGCAACACCTGACCTCAGGACTGGAGATTTCATCCAACCCAAAACTCTAAGGGTTAGTTCACACCATATGCAGTGCGTTCTAGTCCGATTCTGGCCGGAACGCACTGCATCGCATTGCGGACGGCTCACTTTTTTGCTGGGCAGGAGGGGGCGTGACAGCTACAATCCGAAAATACCGGAAGAAACTGAAAGGCCAGCTTCTTCCCTCCAAAACTATTGTGCGGGCGATCGCATTGCGTTCGGAGGCAAAATAGTGAGCCGGCCACAATGTGATGTAGTGCATTATGGCCAGAATCGGACCGGAATGCACTGCATCTGGTGTGAACGAGTGCTAAGAAATCTCCAGAGTTCCAGATCTCAGCTACAATCCGAAAAAAACGGAAGAAACTGAAAGGCAAGCTTCTTCCCTCCAAAACTATTTACATTCTGTGACCTCTCAGCCCCTCTGACTGAGAGTCCTGAGTGACTGTGTTGGTGATTGGTATGGGTGGTACTTGAGGAAAAGTATCGGTACTCGTACTCAGTCTGGAAAAAATGGTATTGATGCATCCCTAATATATACAGTATATATGCCAGGACATTATGGACACCCCCAAAATGTGTGAAAAATCGCAAAGTGATCAAATTTTTGTTTTCTGGAATAGAAGAAACATGCTGGTATTGTGGTGGTTAAAAAAACAAATTAAGGTGTGCTTAGCCTTGAAATATCACCCACTTAAGCTAAGTGCAAGTCTTTCATTTTTAGCGTCAGAAAGTTCCCTGGAGAATGAAAAATTGTATTCCACCAGAATTGTCTTACGTGACATGTGTAAATGCCATTGCACACAATTCAATTTTAGCACATTGCAACTCCACCCCCCCTCCCCCAAACAACCCACAATTATTGGTGGCAAGTGGCATTTAAAAACCTTTTGCCAAATCATTGGTGGTCAGCGGCACTTTAAACCCTCCTACCAAAACAATCCACAATCATTAATGATCAATGGCATTTTAACCCCCCCCCCCCTTTATTGATCAGCGGCACTTTAAATCTCCAGCAAAATAATCCTTCCTTTGTTGACCTGCAGCAGCCAGGAGGATTTATTGAATCAAATCATTCAGTAAGGCCTCCTACCCTTCTTCCTGTGTTGTGAAAGGAAGGGGAGGGCTTGCCACTGTAAACAATACTACACGGATTGGACATCATTGATCACATGGCACAGAGCCGTTTCAATCTGCTGACAGCGCGAATATCAGCTTTGCACACACAACAGAGACAAACAGGATGTACAGGTACATTCACCCACTCTAGCAAGGGCACCATTGGGTTGTTTCATTATAAAGGGCCGGATGGCAAGTAGTTAATGACCAAACAATCTGCACTAAGTGTATATATCACATCATAAAGATGTAGACACCATAAAACAAAACCAAATTAAGGTCCTATAATAAATGCATGTATCAACTGCTTCACCTTAAATAAAGTCCAACTAAATAAGGGTCCAGAAATAATAATAATAATATGTAAAAACCATAAATAAAATGATGTGTTGACCCTCCAAAATCCATACCAGACTCTTATCCAAGATAAAAGTCGAGGAATGTTTTTTAAGCGGGAACCCCAAGTAAAAACAAATGCCAATAAAAGTGGGGTTCACATTCTCCTTCACATCCCCCCTCCAGTCCCCCTTTCACATCAGAGTTCCCCTTTACATTAAGAGCCCATCTTCATATTAGGAGCCTTTCTTCACATTAGAGTTCCCCTTTTTCACATCAGGAAACACTCTTCTCATTGGAGGCATGATGATGTGAAAATTTTGCGGCACCCCAGGGTGCCATGGTGCCACCCTGGTTAGGAAAGGCTGAAAAATGTAATGAAGAAGGAACGATCCAAACCACCACTGCTTCATACCAAACTTCCAACCCTCCCCAAAACCAATAAAGAGGTGAACGATGATGGACGAGAGCCACCAGCTCTGAGAGACGCCATCCGGACTTTGGGCCCATTCAAACTATTGTGTTAAAAAATCCATGTGCGTTCCTAAAAACACAAAATGTGGTTTTAGTGTGTGTTTGTAATGTAAATGCAAGATAATACACTTATTACTTGCCTTGTCCTACTTTTCATTTTGTCTTTTCCTGTGTTGATTTTACGGGTCATGTCTGTTTTAGTTGGAAGTATGAACTTGGCTTAAAATTTGACTTGAAAATATGCTAATTGAAATGCATATTGCGCTTTTAGTGCATTAAGTGACCATATGTTGCCATTGTCTATGATGGAAAACATGTTTTTGCCAAAAAGCACAACTGGTGCAGCAAGCACAATTGTTCAAAATGCACTACACTGCCCTCTAAGGGCCTGTTCACGCCATTGCATTTTATGAGCGCTACATGTAGCACATCATGCTAAAAGCTCATGAAAATTAATTGCCATTATAACCTATGAAGCTTTCCGCATCAGTATGTTGCATTAGAGGGGGAGCGCTTGTTGTGCATTTTGGTACAATTTTTTATTAATTTAGATGATGGCAATGCATGGAAAACACTCTAAAAACACTATGTGTTTTGGTTAGTGTGTTTTCAAGTCGTATCATTTTTTTAAACCTTTGTGCTTGTTATTTGCAAATCTTCAACATGATATGAATATGTGTGCTGATGTACGATCCTGGACGCCCAGAGTCGTACAGTACGTCTATGCACATGTATGGGTACATGGAAGTACCAGCATATACCCGCCTACAGCTATTGACTTCTATGGGAAGCTGTACTCAGTACCTTTGGCGCCCAGCAATTTATGTTGTATGGGTGCATGAGCCTATGCACATGAGCCCTAATAACCCTTCACTACACTATCCCCCCCTAAAAAAAAATTGGCTGCTGAAAGACGTAGTAAAAATGTTCTATAGTCTTCCCTTTCCTGGTTATCTTCTTGCGTTTTAATTCTGTTATCATTTCTCTCCTTCTTCAGATCGAGGAGATTCGGCAGAACATTGACAAGATCTCAGAAAGCGTAAACGAGACCAAGAGACTGCACAGTGTCATCCTATCGGCTCCTCTTCCTGAGCAGAGTGTGTAAATGCCATTGGCTATCATAGTGTCATCTGACCCTTGTGTATCACATGGCATGGCGGTATCGTCTACACTGCAGTAGAGTCCAAATCACTGCCATATCTAATGTATATCAGGGATCATACAAAAACATATTGTCAGCCCCAATAAGATGGAAATTTGGGGAAGCCCTATGGCTTCAGTACTTTCAGAGTCTCTGACCTGGAACAGATTTTGAAATCAGAAAAGTCAGCAAGAGGTCAGAAGTCTTTTTTTTAACGTCAAAGAATTGAAGAAAGAGGGTCAGCATGACATTCAGGCAACTTGCGTTTTCAGAAGTATATGTCCGCAATGGCAGACACCATCTATGCTTATGATAGGTTTCCTTTAAATTGTATGTAAACCCTAACAATTTATCAAGCAGATAGAACTAAACACTTTAAGAAGAAACACCTCTTGATTCTGATAGGAAATTCAATGAGCTGTGAATTTCCTGTGCTCTCTGCCTGTGCTGCACACTTATCAGTTAACATTGTTCTCGGATCTCTGTGAACTACAAAATACCCTCTCCTCATCTCTACAACTTGGGGGTTGGGTAGTTTGCAGAGGGAACTGGGAACAGGGTAACTGATAATACAGAACACGTTAACTTATGTTATTATAGAGACACCTGAGGGTGTGTATTCAAGTAATGTCTGTGAAGCTAAGTCCATGCCATCACCATACCGCAGTCATTGTGCTCACACAATAGATAATAGTTACCACAGCTCCAGTTGGGTTGGCCATAGAGTGTATGTCGAGGCAAAATTGAAAAACATAAATAAAAAGGAATTGTTTAAGGGCATCAATGGACTGGTGAAAATGTACCAAAAAGAAGTGTACGTAGATAAGGCACTTACAACATTTTTTACTGAAAAAGGAAACCACATCAGGTGCATCCTAGTACATTTCTCCAGACAGAGGTACAGAGGAACACAGGGACTCCAAATAGTGCATTAAATGAGATCAAACTTTAATACACAAAACCAAGAGTTCACATTTTCAGGAAGTGATACATGCTCCTATGCAGCCTCTGGGTGATCTTTTAGTCTTCCACAGCCAGTGGCCAGACCAGACCTATTAACCTCCTGCTCACATTTGGGATCGAGCCACCAGTGATTAGTCTGAGTTGGTATAGCAAACGCTATACCAATATGACCATGTGGTTGCATAAGGTCAATGATGTCACCAGCATCCCGCCCCTTTGTTTACATGCAGTGGGGTGGGAAATGCAAAATGTCTGCATTCAGGGTTAGTCAGAGGATCTCATTCGAGCAGCTACATAGGAACATTGGTCATTGTCATGGACCAATTTTGCCATGTTGCCATATAGGATAAATGATGTCACCAGCATCCTGCTCCTTTGCAGCTGCGGGGTGGAGAATACAAAATGTTTGTCTCCAGAGTCGGGGAGCAGAGGCTTTTAACCGAGTGGCTGCATTGAGCATTGGTCATTGTCATTAACTGAATATGGCCATGGAAGTCCAATGTCATTGACTGGATATGGCCATGGAAGGCCAATGTCATTGACTGAATATGGCCATGGAAGGCCAATGTCGTGGACCGAATATGGCCATGGAAGGTCAATGTCGTGGACTGAATATGGCCATGGAAGGTCAATGTCGTTGACTGAATGAATATGATACTGAAAAAAATTGTCCCGGCCGCAGTTCAATGGGCCGGCACTGACTGCTTCCTTCCAGGTTTGGGTGAACGTAAGTTCGGACCGAACCCGAGCTCATCCCTATAACACTTCAGACACTCCCTCTGCTGACTGAATGGACAATAAAGGAGCAGCTTTATACTGATAAGGTCCTCTCTCTGCACTGTCCTCCTATCAGTTAGTTCTCTGTGGGCGCATGTGCACTGCCGTAGAACCTAATTGTCTCTCTTGCCTTTTCCAGTCTCAGCAGTCTGCATACTCCTGACTAGGGGTTTATAGGAGGGTGATACCAAGATGAGTTCAGGTCCCTAAGTGAATCATGTACGAAAATACAGTATATTCAGGTTTTCTCTTAATGGCTACATAACTTCATTGATGTGTGTTATATATCTGCCTGGAGGTCAATTGTAAGAACCAGAACACAAAATGAAAACACATTGCCTTTCCAATGCAATGACATTACTGTACGTCTGTGCATTAACAAAAGGCTCACCTGCTTTTCAGAAACAAAGGATGAACTGGAAAACTTAACCCTGGAGATCAAGAAAGCGGCAAATAACATCCGGTCACGTTTAAAGGGTGAGTGCCACTCGTGTGATGTTGTTGTGGCTAACCGGATTAGGGAGATTTAGCTGTTAATGGAAGAATGTGTATTAAAGGAAAGCTGCAGGAGCATACAGGATCTGCCTTGCTGAACCTTTCTGAAATGCCCAATTACCTGGTTGTCTCTGGATTCAGCACTGTTTGAGTCACAGACCTGGTACAGGCATGTAGCAGGTGAAGTTTATGCAGCCACCACTCATGATCTACATACTCGTTTTTGGTCGGAGGTTTGGATCTCATTCAGTCAGGCTATCTGGCTATCAGGCTATCTGGGGAGCTTAATTTGCTGCATTCAAATTCTGTGCCATGACTACATATAAACTGGCCAATTTAGGTGTGGCCAGTTCGTGTGCGACCAGAAACTCCACATAAATGCCATCCATGGATGCAAAATATCTGCGTCCAGGGTCAGTCAGAATATGCAGATATCCCATTGCACACCAGACCAGAATTCCAGTGTAATATACATAAGGGTGCTGGGACGATGTAGGGTTGGCGCCACACAAATTCAAACGTAGAAGAGATAGTCAACCGCACACCAAAGTCCCATGCATCAACACCTCCTTTTATTGATGGCAGATACACATGGCATCACAATTATGAGCACCGCTTTGGAACCTACCGAACCTTCTGAAATGTTGCTCATACTTGTAATGCCATGTCTATCTGTCGTCAATAAAAGGACGTATTGATGCATGGGACCCAGGCTGACCCGGGTGTGAGTGACTATCTCTTCAGGGTCAGTCAGAGGCGCTCATCGGAATGGTTGTGGACATTGGTCAATATCATTCACTGGGCTTGGCCATGTATCCATTTAAGGTCAATATAATTGACCAAATATGGCCATATGGCACATAAGGTCAATTATGTCACCAGTATCCCGCCCCTTTTGTTTACATGTAGCTGTGAGGTGGGGAATGTAAATTTTTGTGCATCCAGGGTCGGTCAGAGGCTCTTACTCGAGCAGTTACATGCAAACTTTGGTGAATGTCATTGACTGAATATGGCTATGTAAGGTCAATGTCCTTGACTGAATATGTCAATGTAAGGTCAATGTCATTGACTGAATATGGCCATGGAAGGTCAATGTCATTGACTGAATATGGCCATGGAAGGTCAATGTCATTGACTGAATATGGCCATGGAAGGTCAATACCCTTGAATGAATATGGCCATGGAAGGTCAATACCCTTGACTGAATATGGCCACGTAAAGTGAATGTCATTGACTGAATATGGCTATGGAAGGTCAATGTCATTGACTGAAAAAACTCTCTGCCCCTGTCTCCCAATTGTGCTCCTTGACAGTTAAGAGGACAATTGTTTGGTACTAAGTGCTTTAGCAAATTAAAACTAAACCCTTCAGCCTACCTTTCAGTCTTGCACACTTGTACCGGCTCCTCTCCTGGACTGAAATAGCTTACTCTGATTTTACTGCACACTGTGGGCTTCTCACAATGTGCATTAGAAGCTGCAGCAAGTCAGTTTACATCCACACAATAAAAGGATTTTAGTCTATCAGATCACAAAGATGATTTTTAACATTGGCAAATTTTGGGTTCTAATTTCAATTTGTCCCCCCCTCTTTTATTTTTATTTGTTTGTTTAAGCAATGGAGCAGTCTATAGAACAAGATCAAGGTCAGTCTTCAGCAGACCTTCGAATACGGAAGTCCCAGGTGAGTGGTGAAGGACGTAATGTGCACATTGCAATCTTATTGTTTGCTCATTCCTGAAGATCTTGCCGGGGGTTGTGTCCCCTTTTGCAGTAGGAGTCAAGCTTCTATTACGGTAGTCGGGTTGCCACCTTATCTTATGGTTCCTTTCCTATAATTACCACTGGAAAGCAATCCCTTGCTTACCAGCCAGGCTTGTAAAATACTAGCCAGATGGCAACTCTAGATGGTTCGGGGCTTGATGTATGCCTAGAGATGGACTCTCCCTTAAAAAGAAGTCCAGGCAACATGCAGTGGGTGTTATTATAATGTTTTACTGTGTTCTCTTGTGAGTTGTGTGAAGTTTGTTATGGTTTCCTTGATCCACCAACGTATGGTAAGGGTCAATCATGATGTCCAGCTTTGTCCGCGATGATGTTGACTCGTCAAAATAAAAAAAATAAAAAAACCTGAAGCACACATACACACATGCACAATCACAAATAGACACATAAAAGGTTAAACTTGATGAATCTGTGTCTTTATTCAACCTCAAATACTATGTAACTATGAAGCTCGCACACGACAAACTCCCACCAGAAAATGAACAATTTGATAGATGCCGGCAAAATGTAAACAGATCGGCTGAGCTAGTGGTGACATCACCGCTGGCTCCGCCTATCTGTTGACATTTGGCCGCACCTGTCAAATCACTATTGTAATTCCTAGTCAAATGTAAACAAATGGGCGGAGTCGGCTGTGACGTCACGGCTGGCTCCAACCATTTGTTGTCATAAAATGACAGACTACTGTCCTCAAATGACCTAAGGACAGTATATTTAGCAGACCAATAGGGACTAAATAAAAAATTTACATTGTTGGGTTTTCCATGCACTGTATCCTGATATTATGCATCAACACAAACACTCCTTGCTTCCCTTGGTCACCAAACAAATAACAGTTCCATGCCATAAATGACCAACAAATTACAGTCCCTGATTGCCACATTGTCTTTAAATATCTTAAGGTAGAATGAAAGGCAATTATATTTTTTTTATTTTTGTTTTTGATAGTGTAAGGGAGGGTTCTAACCACCTTAACTTTTATTTTTTGCCATCCCATTGCAAAGATTTCTGTTCAATTCCTGTCTAACTATAACAGGAAGTGAGAGGAAATCCCTGGTGGTCAGCATGACTAGTGTCCACATTGGAAGATTTCCCATCTATTTTTGTTCTGATGATAACTAAGAATTAGGGAATTTAATTCACTTTTAGTGAACAGTCACCAAGATAAATAGTGGGGGTGAATCTCCCTAACAGGGGCACAGACAGCAATAAAAACCAAAAGGTGTTCTAATCCTTCTCCACTCTATCCAAAACTAGTTTTGGCTTCAGTTGCACTTTAAAGTGGAACTAGACCCACCAATTTAATGGTATACAGCTGCCCCCTCCCTGTGATTCTGTACAACACGATCACTTAACACCAGCTCTGCCTTTACACACAATACACTGCCCTGGAAGAGCTCAGTTTTAATATGTACAATTTGCTCACAAAACACAGAGGCACCATTTCCATGAGGATATGTTGAGGAAAGCTAACAAAAAAAACATAAGTTTCTGCAGCATCTGCATATGTCTGCTTCGTGTACACTTGGTCAGGGGCGTCCTGAGGCTGGGGGACACACCCGGAGCGGAGACCGGGTGACACCCCACCGTGACAGCATCGTGCGCAAGTGTGATTGTCTTATTGACGCCTGCCGGCGGTCATCTTGGTGATGGACGCCGGCAGAGAGAGGACGTTCACCCGGCGGTGTCACCCCTCCGCTAGTTGGCACCCAGGTGCAGGACACCCAAGCCCAGCGCCCCCCCCCCGCACCCTCCTTGTGGTGACAACTCCTCTGCAATGGTGGAAATGGGCTTTAAGGCATGCCAATTGTCAAGGTTGCCAGTGTGCTTATTGTAGCTCTCAACTGAAATTTCATGCCCATAAATGGCCGGTGTCAAAGCTGATCACATGTGCAGCACCATGGTAACTTGTGTCCAAATAGAGGCCAAGATGGCACCTGCCTTGGCTGTAATGGATCTGAGGATGTAGTTCCCCTTTAACTAGTTCATAGCTTCTTGCTTTGACAAAACGGCTTTGATCCTGTAACATCTTCTTTGATGACTGTTCTCAGCAAAGTATTAACGATGCATCTCCCCCTCCCCACAGCACTCTGTCCTGTCGAGGAAGTTTGTGGACGTAATGACAAAGTACAATGAAGCTCAGGTGGACTTCAGAGAGCGGAGTAAAGGGCGGATCCAGAGGCAGTTGGAGATCAGTGAGTCATCACCATCATGGTTTTGTGGTTTCCTTTGTTCACTCAAGCTGGCCATACTCCAGTAAAATTTCATCTAAACATGTTCATATTCTGAACGTTTGTTCGATTTTCTAATGATTAGTAGGGTCTAATGGACATTCGTTTTTTTACCCTATGGATGGGGAAATTCGAATGAGTAGGACGGAAAATGTTCTTCTTTCTTATCTGAACTAATCAAGTTCTAACCATGAATGTGACTTTGGTTAGGTAAAAATTGTACACATTGTAATGCACATGCACTAGGAACAAAAGAAACCTGTTTAACACATCTTGGATTCCATTGATGCCGGTCTGGTGGTAATTTTAAGGGCTTTAAAGTAACTTAAGTTAAAGGAGAACTATGAGGTGAGTGATTTTCACTCATCCTCATAGTTCTAGCCGACCTGTGACAATGAGACTGTCACAGGTTGGCTCAGTAGATCGGGAGGTGAGCGAACACATACCGGCGTTCGCTCACTTCTCGATCCTGTCACGGCAGAGAGCCGTGACAGGGGAGGGAGAGGGCTTTTAAGGGCTTTCCAGCAAAATAAGTTGACTCAATGATGACGAGATCGAAAGCTCTGATGAAAGCTCGAACAAACGCTCAAAATTTTTTCGGGGCTTTCAAATTAAATGAGTCGGCTCAATGACATCAATGGCATCTTTGAATTCTCTGCTGAACTATTTCCAATGTTCAAATGAAATTCTAACAGTGTAAGGCCAGCTTTACTATAGCTCGCCAGTGTTCATATTGGAGAGAGCTGGAAGCGATGTTCTGGTTTCCAAATTAAGCCATTTGGAGGGGGAAAAAAAAGTTGCATGCAAGAATGATTGATCCGTTCTGGTTATGATATTCTTATTTTTGGTGGCGTAAGGTTAGTTGACTCGGCCACTGCTTTTTGCATTACTGAAAAAGTAAGATGCCGGCTTCTAAAACTGAACTTACACTGCTCAAATACAGGTGAAACTCGAATAATTAGAATATCGTGCAAAGTTCATTTATTTCAATACACACCATAGAGTCAGAACTTTGCTGATCGAAGAGATTTTGCTTTGATGCAGCAGTGGGCATGTCAGACCTCTGCAGAGAGACCACTGCTTCAATACAGAACAAGGACCCTTCTTTGCAGCATTCTGGCAAGGAAGGAACAGGCCTTTCTACACAGGCGGTGGCTGCTTCCTTTAGAAAGGGAACTGCAAAATGTTGCACATCTTTGTTTTGATGCACCTTGACGGTATGTACCTGACTTAGGGCTCATGCACACAGCCACCTGAAGCCAAAAATTCCGTCATTTTTCTCCCGTCAGAGAGCCACTGGTGCTGCCTACAGCCTGCCATGGAAGTCAATGATTTTTGTAAACATTCACATGCATATGTGTCCACACCCATACACATGTGTGTTTACGCAAGTCTGGTGTATACCTGCGTACAGCCATTGACTTGTATGGGAGGCTGTATGCAGCCCAAGTAGTACCCTGCCAGGGAAAATACACTGTGATGTATACTTTACTCCCACAAGTGGCCACGTGTAAAAAGAGCCTTTAAACTCTGTTAATTTAGGACTTAAAGTGACATTAAACCCTCAGATTTTTTAGCATAAACCAATACTGTAATGTGTGCCTTACTGTAATCCATGGTTGTTTCCCTTCTCTTTGCTGCTCTTCCTTTTAAATCCTCATGTCTTCTCATGCTTGGGGAGAACTTCCCTTTGCAGCTCAGGGCCTCTTCCTGTAGTGCTGGCTCAGGTTACAAACCTATACACAGACACCATGTATCCATTCCAGAGACAAGGCAGTCTGCTGCAAAACAGAAGTTCTGCAGAGCATGAGAAGAGATACAGATTTAAAAGGAAGAGCAGCAAAGAGAAGGGAAACAACCATGGATTACAGTAAGGCACACATTACAGTATTGTTTTATGTTAAAAAATCTGAGGGTTTAATGTCACTTTAAAGCAAGCCATGCCGAGAAAATATCAAGGCTGCCAATACTGACCAACTTCTAAAAATTGTAGTTCCCTGGTTGTCGGGCTGATTCAATGGCTTCAGTACCTTGTGAGTCACTAACCTGGAAATGTCTACATCTGGCATCTAGTATTCCTGACCTAAACAGTTCTAGACCAGTGGCTCATGAAGCATTGCAGCCTGAGACCTCCCGTAAAGCATTTTCAGAAGACCGCTGATGGCAGCTTCCGTATTTCTCTTTTTTGGTGGTAGAGCAGCAAAAAAGCTGTGTTTGGAATGGCGAGGGAAGTGACTCTGTGTTCTCATTATGACATAATATTATCATACTTCTGTGTGTCTGCCTGCGGCACTGGTTGGCCTATACGGGGCATTTCAAATATCATTGTGATTCTAACATCTGTCACTTGTTATCATTGTTTTCAAGCTGGCAAAAACACAACAGATGCTGAATTAGAGGAAATGCTGGAAAGCGGAAACCCCAACATCTTCACTTCTGGGGTAAGACCCTTTTTAAAGAGGACCTGTCACAAATACATGGATGTGGACCTGTATCCTGCACATTACAAAGTCCTTTTTGCATCATTTTGCTAAATAAGCCAGTGAAGTCTGTTCATAATATAGGTAATATTATTTTTCCCTTTTGCTACTTATGTACTGGCTTGCCAAATGTGCAGTGGATATGGGAAAATACAAGAAGCCGGATGTTCTTGAGTACACTTAGCCCTCTAGTAGTAATGGGCCCCAGTTACGTAAAGGAAGTAGCTAGTAACCCTTCATTAATGTCAGCCTTGCTGCGGTAGTCAAAAACTTATGCCAAAGTCAGTGGTTAATTCCATCACCCATGTATACCCAATAGGTATCTGTTTTTAGCTGGTAGGGAGATCAAGCTTATGGACAAATGTTTGTGGACACCTGACCATAACACCCACTATTTCACCAAAAGTAAGTAAATACTGCTCCTGATTTATTTTTTACTGGTGTTTCCAGTGTTATTAATGCTACAGCCTGCAGAGATCCCTGACCTCAACCTTATTAAACACCTTTGGGATGAATTAAAATATGCTAATTGAGAGCTAGGTCAGAGGTTTCAAAAAGGGGTTCATAATCATATTACTGATATTCACTGGTTTATTTAGCAAAGCAATGCAAAGAGTCTTCTCATACATTAGTGCCATGTTCTTTTGGCTAAATAGGCTTGAATTCCCACAGGCACACTTCAAAATGTTGTGGAAAGACTTCTCAAGAAGAGTGGAGGCTGTTACAGCCACAAAGGGAAGAAAGGGCAACTCCAAATGAATGCCTATAGTTTTGAACTGGTGTAGGGCATAATACTATCAGGTGACATACTGAACATCACAAAAAAAGATAAAGAAGATGTAAACATTTTGGTTTGGCTAGCTGACAGGATGATTTGGTACCTATAGCCTAACTACACCTATCCATCTTTTCCTGCAGATCATTGACTCACAGATTTCACGTCAAGCCCTGAGTGAAATTGAGTCTCGTCACCGGGATATCGTACGGCTAGAGAGCAGCCTGAAGGAGCTCCATGACATGTTCATGGATATAGCCATGTTGGTTGAGAACCAGGTAACCATTATGGGCAACATGGGGTGGGTGAAGATAAAGATTAGTGACAGAATGCCCAGCTTAAAAATAAGGGATTGGTAGTACTATATAAACAGTTAAAATTATCCTAAATCACCCTAATATGGTCTCTAACAGCCATTCGATGTCTCAGTTGTGTCCTATTTTCTGTCTTTAATGCTTTGCTTGGAGACTGAGGCTCAACCTAGTTCAGGTAACTATACCTTTCCTCTCTGACTTTCGACTTTATCTAAAAACCTTCCGCTTTTCCAAGTATACTAACTGATCCTGTGTGTCCTCTACAGGGGGAGGTGACTGATAATATAGAGATCAATGTCATGAAGTCAGTGGAACACGTAGAAAAAGCTCGAGAAGAGACAACCAAAGCTGTGAAATACCAGAGCAAAGCACGTAAGGTGAGGGTGGAAAGACCTTGACATAACTGGACATTGACATAACTGACCTACTTTAGATATAAAATCTGATATAAGGATTCAGTTGAGGGCAACATGACTGAGCAAAGTTCTTTGTTATGTGACACTACAATATGATATTATATGTGCTTTTTAATGTTTCCCTCTATCTCCTGCCTACATCCTGTACAATTCCCATCATCTTTCTATTTTTTTATGTCAACAATGAACATTTCTCGCTGTGTCTCTTGTGTTGTGTACTCTACACTTTGTTCCTCTGTGTTTCAATTCACCTTTTTACCATTCACTCGTCATCCTTTTACTGTATTATGAAACCTCTTTGGTTTCCACCATGGGCTTATCTATGCTTTCCTTTACAATGTTGATCTCATCCTCCACATTCTCGCCTCCATGTCCTTAATTCTTCTCTTCACGCTGTTCTCAATTTTCAATCCTGGCTTCTTATTACTCTAATATGTCTTTACCAACACATTCTTCTCTACTTCCTGTGTTGGGTTTTCCTATTTTTTCTCAAAACATCTACCTACCTAAAAACCCATCCTTCCTTCCTGATGTTTTATCTGCTATTTACTCTATCCCTATCTTCATAAAACATATGCCAACTTCATAATTTTCCCAACAACCAATATTTTGTGGTTTGTACCCTGTGTCTGTGTGCTTCAATCTAACTCTTCTGTCTTGTGTCATACATTCTTCCTTCTATATTGACCCAAACTTTTCTTCAAAACACTGCATTTTCGAACCATCCATTCTTAAATCTTTTTGACCTCCTTCTTCCCTTTCATTGATTTTCTATAATGCTTTCTTTCTTTGCACCGCTTAAAACATCCATCCATAAATTATCTTCTGCCATATCCTTTTACTCTCTCCTTCTACACTTAAAACAATTATTCCCCCTCATAATCTTCCAACAACATACATCCCTTAACTCATTGCCACGCTTGTGTCTTGGCTTCCTTCTGCTATTTCCCCCCACCTCTGCCTTTCTTCTCTTTTTTTCCATTTCTCTTTCTTTCTTAAGGGTGCTCTTATAGACCGTATAGAAAATAACATGGATCAGTCAGTAGGTTTTGTCGAACGAGCTGTGGCCGACACAAAGAAAGCTGTAAAATACCAGAGTGATGCCCGGAGGGTGAGAAGAACCGCTTAGTTGGCTCAGTAGCAATTTAAGGCTTGGCAACCTTGCTGGAACCCATTCTAGATCCTTGCATATACATTTATGTTATGCTGGTAGTGCATTGATTTAGATTCAACCTCTGCCAATGGTAACCTTCCGCCTCTGTTAAAATTTTAGATTTAGAATTTATAGATATGACAGGGCTCATTTATAAAAACTGGAGTAAGGGAAAAGAGGGGATGTGCTCTAAAACAAAGTAAATGTTATGGTTAATTTCCTAACCTGCATAAAACAATTGGTGGCCTATAGTCATGTATGTTAGTGGCCTGTAGTCACACAGGAGCAGATAAAACTTTGATACTGCTGAAATTATCTGCATGGTACCATTTCTAGGAAAGACCATTAGAGGTCTTTAAATTGGAACATTTTGCTTTTGAAAAGAGTGGGAAAAGCTGCAACCTTTGTCATGTTGTTCTCCTGCCTGTGTCCCTGTTGGGGACATGTGCTCTTACATAACAATGGTTAGTAGATCACAAAGTAAGGGTAAGGCCGGATGCATAGGGATGATTTTTGCTATAGCTGTCTTCAACCATAATTACCCTATGATTAATCGCTACACATGCAGTTGCATGTAGCAACGATCGACCACACAATTTGGAGCATTGTGCTGCCATTAGGGAACACTTCATTGTTCCCTATGTGTAGCAATCGCTAGCTTTATTGGTACTTAATCATGAGTGATGATCACTATAGCAAAAATTAGCCATGTGCGGTCAGCCTAAATCTTTCTATCAGAGACACAGATGGCAATAAATACCTGAGATAGTTCCAAACTCTTCCCCTTTCTGCCACAAAAATAAGAAAAAACAGTGGCTGGAATTGCACGTTAAAGCCCAACTCTAGGCTCTGGGCTTCTCCCCTGCCTTCTCCCTCCAAGTGGACCTCGAGCACCCCTACCTTATACAGATGTATTCAGGCCAGTAACATGATGTGCAGGGTCCTTTTCCTCTTTGTATTTTCTTCTGGCCATGTGTGATCCTCAATGATGCAGTGACGTGAAAATGTAACCAGCATTCTCTTCATCATTACACTATGAGTGTACATGGTGACACCTCTCCTTACGACAAGTCCATGACACTATGCACTCAGAGTACTGTATGTCCTTAGTCTACCAGTTTGAATGGCGTGGGACATTATTTAATCTGGAACACTGAGGACATCTTGTAGAAGAAAAGCACTGTGGGGACAGGAGGGGAGTTTTGCAACAAAACTTAATTTTGTTTTTTATTACTTCCTGGTGGACCTTATATGTTAAAAAAATAAATAATAGCTTAAGTTGGGCTATAATGCTTCTGATTGCAACAATGACAATTTTTGTCACCTTTAAATATAATGATTTGATCATGAAGTGTTGAGAGTTATGGGAGGTGGGTCAAATAGTTTGCAAAAAAACAAAGTGTCATCTTTCCTGTGCTCCAGTTTTCATAAATCAGGCCTAAAGTAGTTAAATGTGCATTTTTATTGTTTACCTCCTTCTCCTCTTTTTTCTGTTTGGTTCACTCTATTTCTTCCTCTATCCTGAGTGCGAAAGAACAAATACTTTTTGGCCTACTGGCTATGCCTTGTGCAGATGAAAGGCATTCTGGGAAATTAAAGTCAGATAAAGCTTCCACAGAATGCTGATGTAATGCCAAGGTTTGTAGCAATCTAAAAATTAATTAATTTTTCTAAGGTGGACTTTGAGATTGTAAAACTCTCTGCAGAGCCCCCTTGAGTCAGGACTAAAGTTCTCCAACATCAGATTTGGTGATTAAAGAACTAAAGAATTTACTATAGGTCTTCATACCTCCCAACTTTCTGAGACAGAAAAAGGGGTCAATTGTTGTAAGCAAAGGATACCCCCCCCCCTTCCCAGTTATGTGGACCTGGAAGAACTGATATGCACAAAATTGTTGGTTAAAGCCACAAGTGCTTTTGGTCTACTGCTTTTCTTTTATATTGGCTTTTCAACAAATGAAATAATTCAAAGGTTAGAGGAAAGGTTATAATATAACATTTATGGTAGGTGTACCATTATCTATAGAGATTTATATATCACACCAATAAGAGGAGCAACTGAGGAGCAAAGAGGGACAGAGGGTGACAATGCCTACAAATGAGGGGCAATTTGCAGCTTTGTGTCTAATAAAGTTGAGAATTTCCCATGACCTCTGTGATTCAACGTGGACAAGTAACTTTGTTGTTAACAGTCAGCCTTGATTATTATTTGTCTCTAACCCTCCCCAGCTTTGGAAGGAAAGTTTGATTCAGAGTAGTAATTTTGGGTGTGGATGCTGTTGCTTTACTGGACCTTCTTATTTTTATAATCTTATGTGTCCCATTCTTATTGAATTGGATATTTACTACTACTGGTGGAACTACCAGGGTCGCAGCGGTTGCAATTGCGACCAGGCCCTGGCGTTCCGCCTGTTGGAGGAGCCCAGAGAGGAAGAAGAGGGCCCACAGCTCCCTCATGCCCCCCGCCAATAGTGCAGCTCCTTCCCCGCCAGGGGGGCCTTCATGGTGTCTTGTACCGGAGCCCTGAGGTTTCTAGTTACGCCTTTGTTTACTACTGTACTATTTTTTAATATAAGTATATCGCTGGGCATCATATTATAATAGCATGATAGCACTGGGCATTCCAAAGGAGTCATGTGACATCCTGTATGGTTTTGGTTTCCTATACGGCCAGTTAGGATGAAGTCTTGCACACTTGTGCTATACTTTTGAAGTGCTTATATAGTATAAACTTATTGTGACAGTAAATGACTAGTAACACATTTTGTAGTTTATTGCTGAGGTTAAGGAACCTGTGGTTATTGTCATAGGGTGCGTCCAAACAATTAAAATTATGCACTGCCTTTTGTTTATTCAGTCAGTTTGCTATGCCAACTGAACCTACAACGTGCAAAGAAAACTCTATGAGCCATAGTATCTGAATCAAAGATTGAATTCTCAGGGAAAGCAGTACAGTTTTAGATGAGATAACGGTAGTTCAGTCCACTGAAAAAACTGGATAGTTTTGCTTTATTTATAAAGTTCAGGTTAAAGCCCAACTGAACTTTCAGTTAATATTTGCATAATGTATTCCAGGTGTATGAAAATTTGGTGTGCGCAGTTTAAGTGTTTTTTTTTTTATATCCGTAGAAAGCAGCCTGCCATCACACTGCTTATCCTTGCTCTCTGTGTGGAAGCAGTGGTCTCCCTGCAGAAGCTTGACATTCTCCCATGACTCTGGACTATAGCTGTCCAACAGAAAGCATGAGATTTGCTGATTAAAGAACTATAGGTTTGGCTCAGCAGGGACAAACAGCAAGAGTCCTTCTCATGTTGCATGTACTGTATATAGCTGATTTGAACTGGAAAATCAGTTGGTCTTTACAGAAGAACTCTGGGCAGAACAAAAATAAAACCTTGTAGTGGCACTACTCCCGCACTGGAAGGGTAAAGAGCTCGTATTTGTCTAGGGTGTAAAACAAAAAAAGGATATATGCACATGATTCTCGATCCCGCACCCACTTCTCCCTCGGACTCTGGTGAGTTAAGGATCTGCCAGTCAGCATGTCTAATACAGTATGTTAGACCTGAGGACATTGAGGAATTTGCGGAGAGAGGTGAGCGGTCACCACCGCAGGATCGAGGATCGGATGAGTATAACTTCTTTATTTTTAGACCCAAAAGAAAAACGAGAACTTAATTGATCCTAAACAGGGTGGGTAGCCCGACTGCAAAGGTTAGGTTTACATATGCCCGGAGTTCTGCATTAAAGGCTATAAACTGTGGAAGCTTTGCCCAAAAGGGCAAACGGAGAGCAAAGGAGGTAGAGGTATTGCTTTTGTTCACCTTGTTAGAGCTGTCACTTGTGCCTAGTGGTGCAATATTCAATAAAAAACTAAAAAGGTGGGGATAGCACTGATCCACAGAATAAATGAAGCTGGGATATACTTGCACTGCAAGTCCCCAGGTGCTGTTTTCTCTCCGGCAAGCAGAACAGAGAGCAGCACAGTATGGGCATCCCAAAATTTTACTCTGAAGAATGAGCCTCTGGGCACAGAAAATGCTCCTGTAGTTTTGTAGGAATTCAAGACAAAATGTAAAAATTTTTTAGAGTACTGTTTAGATTAAAATAAACATTTCTAGATGTTCCCTGTGAGTTAGCGAATCTTCACTTTTTGGGTTCAGGTCCACCCAAAAGCATCCCTTTGCTAATGTTTACAGAAACCTTTTCTGAATATGAACTTAACAAATAACCAGTGCATCGTCATGGGACAAAATCTCTGCTGCAGTCTGTCTGTGGAGGCCCAGTTATGTTCCTATTGGGAGCTGCCATCTTGCCTCTTGTACAGCCTAGTGAAGTGAAGCAAGTTTGTGGATTTCAGAGAGCACACCAAAGACAACTCTACCCTTCTGGTGACACTCACGTGTCGCTGCTTTCTACATAAATCTGCGGCTGAGAGATGGTAGAGATCAAGATGAGGGTTTAGCTGCTGACTTGACAAAAATTCAAACATATTGGTAACAGCTCTTATTAGTCCTAAATCTTTATCAGAAAGGAAGAGCACATCTGATGGCGCAGATTTGAAGTTTTTTTTTTTTACATTCTTGGGGGGTGGAAAGATTCATCTAAAAGATATACTCATAAAAATGTTATATCTAACTAAATTATGTTCCATCTCATCCCTTCTCTATCCTCCTCTATAACTTGTGTCAACAGCAAAACACCAGGTCCGCTTTAGGTTATATTTGATCAGGAACGATGTAATGTGCTTACTTTGGACTGACATGTGACATCTATAAGACAAAGACATGACTGTATTGTACGATTTGCTTGTTGTACTTGATCCTTCTCCTTGATGTTCCCTTCCCTAGAAAATGATCATAATTATTGTGGTGGTAATTATCCTGCTAGCGATCGTGGCTCTGATTATTGGCTTATCTGTTGGACTAAAAAAATGAGACCATCATCTGGGGATATGCACTTGTAAGTAGAAAACTCTTTAAAAACAGTTAAGAGTCTTGCTAACATACTTGTTAATCCTAAAAGCCCTGCCACAAGACCCTCAGGAATTAGTTAAAAGTTTAGTGTGGGAAAATCAAGACAACTAAATAACTTAGAGTATCTAAACCCAAAAACAAAAAAAAATAATTTGCAGCTTACCTGTCCTTAGATGTGGTGACTATTTTTTATAATGACAATTTTTCCTTTATACGTCCACACATTTCCTGTCCTAGAGTGACAACAGCCACTCATTGTACTGTATCTGTGGAGGAGCAGCATTGTCACCCTAGGTTACTCTTCTGATTTGGACCTTACCTCCATTACATAGGGAAGTGGTGTCCTTTACTTCACAGAATATAGCTGGGAAGGCTGATAAGATCAGGGGGGGACCTACCGCCGGTGCGGCCTGAAGAGGGAGGCGAGAATAAAAAAAGCCGGCAGGCACTTCACAGGGCAGCCCTGGGCCTCGGCAAGCAGCCGCCTGAACACACGGATGCTGTGTCTGAGACTCTGACACACACAATGGTGTGTTTTTCTGCAGCCTCCCCCACCAGAAAACAGCCTGAAGAGGTGAAGGTAAGTTATTAAATAAAATAATTATGTTTTGTAGCCCAATTGATGAACATGCTGTATGAAGTACAGCTGATATTTGTAGTGCTATAAAGCAGGTCCCATTCTGCATTGCAGCAATGCAAAATGACACCCGCTAGGGGGGGGGGGAGTACCTGGTGCGGGGGGGCCCGAAAAAAAATCTTGCACCGGGGCCCTTTGTTCCCTAAGTCCGCCACTGGATAAGATACAAGGATACCGGATTACAGGCAAGATAAAGAGTTATTTTTCTGTACTTGCAGAACATGTTCTTACCCTCCAAAAAGGAAAAAAAAAGAAATCTAATGCAGTCACCACATATGATGACAGCTAATCTACAATATATTTATGTTTTGGTCCTTAGGACCAAAGTGTTTTTAAATCCTTTTTAAAAAAAAATGTATTATTGTTTTTTTTTGTCTGGATAAAACACAGAAGTGTCTATTCATTTTTATAGACTTTATCTACATCTATGTCCCCACTGGTGAGGTTTAACCTCACTATTTCTCCTGGTAACCATCGTCATCATGGCTGAAAATGAGAGAAAATCCAAAAAAGTCAACACTAGAACAGGAAGGGGAATCTTCTCATGGGAATACTTGTTCTGGTGATAACAAACTAAAAGGAAATTTCCCTTAGGAGATATAGCCTTTTACATGAAGTGAAGGTAATTATACCCCAATGGGACAGACAGTTAAAAAAAAATGGACAGGGGGTTTCAGCCTATCCCTACTTTAATAAAAAGTAGGAAAAAAGGGTTTTGTCATAGATACTCGTTTGCTTGTACAGTTAAAATGTTGAGGCATAAATTATTTAGCATAAACACAATTTGGCAGAGCGGGGATTTTTCTTGGAAGTGTTTCCAGCTGTGATACAGTGTCACAGAAGCACAAGAGAAAGGGTAGAGTGGCAATGGATGCCAAAAGCATTCTATATGTAGTATGGAATTAGTGAATGCTTTTAATGATAACTCTAGTTTTGTGGCTGAGCAGCAGAGACATGCTCTCTCAACACTTCATTCATTTCAGGTTGTGTAGAAACTGCCCTAAAGGCAATGGCAGGATGAGGGGAGCTAATCATTTATCCCTAATTTATCCCACTGGATGACGGGAGCTAATCATTTATTTAATGGCAAATGAGTCCCTGCCAAAATTTAGCATCACCAGCATGTGTTGGATAACTTAACTATATTTCTATATCAAATGTGCTATTTACATAAATATTGGACATATAGGGCTTGAATCTAGATTGCTAGTGGGGACTGGTAGCTAGTAATGTCTTGGCATGAAAGTAGCCACATACTGTGTATCAGCTGGTACCTGTGAAAGAGGAAACATGAACTCATATTGCTTTTAGCACAGAGCATCATACAGGAGATTGTTAATCTACAGATTGTGGCCAGCAAGACATTAAAGACGTACATCCCACAACCCAGTGGATGGCCATTCATAAATGAAGTGTAAAAGCAGCATCTGGGAATAGTGGAGCACCTATCAAGAACTGCAGTATATTGGTGTCCTGCTACAGCTGTGACGTCATTAAACTGCTCAGTGACATAGAGTTTTTTGTAGCAGTGAGCAGTTTCATCATTTAACTATACACTGTCACATGTGTTGGGAGGCTAGTTAACACACATGCTGGTAAATAGACTTTGTTAATACACATATGTCGGCGACTGGTCACTGAGGGTTAATGCACATATGCTGTAGACTGGATCACTGGGGGTTATTACACATATGCTGGAGACTGGTCACTGAGGGTTAAGGAATATATGTTAGAGATGGGTCACTAAGGGTTAAATGCATGTAAACTGTTAATGCACATAAGCTGGAGACTGGTCACTGAGGGTTAATGCATGTACACTGGAGACTGGTCACTGGGGTTTAATGCATATACACTGGTGAATGGTCACTGGGAGTTAATGAATATACACTGGAGACTAGTGCACCAGTCCCTGTCCTCAAGGAGCCTACAATAAAATGTAAGGTCCCTATCTCACATTCATACATGCAGGGCCAATTTAGAAAGGAGTCAATTAACCAGCCAGCATGCCCTTGGAGTGTGGGAGGAAACCGGAGTACCCAGAGGAAACCCAGGCAAGCAGAGAGAGAACATGCAAACTCCTTGCAGATAGTGACCTGGCCAGGAATCAAACCAGGAACCCACAGTGCTGCAAGGCAGAAGCGATAACCACTGCACCACTGTTCTGCATGTAAACTGCGGGTGTGAAAACTGGCTAGGCAGGGACCATCTCACTGCTAGCATAGATACTATGAAGTATGTTGTAGGAAGTGATATTATTTATTAAACATGCTCATTTCGGCTTAATCCTCCAATGAGAAAATACTTACAGGTTTATTCACTAAAGGGTGAAGAGTTTGGAGAAAGCAGAAGTGAACAGTCTAGACCAAAATAGCTGATTTGGAAAAATTCTCCCATTCAGCTCACTTTTAAAGGGGAACTATGAGATGAGGGATTTCCACTCACCTCATATTTCTAGCCGACCTGTGACAATGAGACTGTCACAGGTCGGCTCAGTAGATCGGGAGGTGAGCGAACACATACCTCTGGATAGGCAGAGCCAGCTGTCACTCACGCAGCTGGGCGGATCCCGTCAGTTAAGTCATGATCCGCTCCGGCTGCGGCGTCTCAGTATACCGCAAGCTGTAGCTCGCGGTATACTGAGCTTAGGGTAACGGGAGGACGCTAGTTTGTGTCCTCCCGTTACCCTAAGGAGAACTATGGGGAAAAACACTGACCCCATAGTTCTCCTTTAAGTTCAGCTATGTTGTCCTAGATTCTTCACTTCTCCTGCCTTCCCCAAACTCTTCACCCTTTTGTGAATATCCCTGTTAGACCTCAATGCTACATATCAGGTGGCTATTTTGTTAATGACATTGGCTATAACCATCTTGTAATTACTGCTTTTGTCTGTTCTCCAGCGTACCACTCCATCCATGATGCCTAGTCCAGATCCTAGTTATCTCCTCCAGCCTTCTCCTGTACCATTGCCCAACTTTTCCTGTAGAAGAACATACCTTTTGCTTCCTGAAGACCTCACCCAATAATGTCTCCCTTGGAACTATGGTCTCACATTCTTTTATTGACTGTTTGCACTACCTATGCATCTACACAATCCTGTTACAATTTTAAAAGCAAGAGAAGGGACAAGATTGATGTATGCTATTTTTTTTAAGAAGAAGCTTTTTAAATGTATATAAGGTTAAGAAAGACTTATATTTGTAAAATAATCTTGAGTACTATTGCCATCTTCGTATCTACACCTCCACATATGTCTGAAACCAAAACCTGCACTCCACCTCATCCTCATTCCTGTCCAGCCACACTCTTATTTAGGACTGTTTCTTCTAAATGGCTCTTCTTTTGAAAAATCAGAACTGTTGTGCCAAATCGAAACAGATGGGAGGTATAAATTTTTTCTTGACTTGATTCTTAATATTTAATAAGCAGGCAGAAAGGGCAGTGCACATGTGCAAAGGGTGGTAACCAATTGCAGCCAAAAAGTCATCCTTTCAAGGGAGTACAATACACCAAATCATGTGAGACCTTTCTAAAAGCAACATTAGCGATAAACTGTTTAAAATTAACTCCGTTACAAAAACTAGAGGCCATCACCTAAAATTGGTGGAAAAAAAATTCCAGCACAAGGGGCGAAGGGGGTTCTTCACAGTAAGATCAGTTAGGGTCTGGAACTCACTGCCACAGGCGGTGATTTCAGCAAATAATGTGGAATTGTTCAAGAAACTTTTGGACGATTTCTTAAGGGACCGTAATATACAGGGGTACAGGTAATATACAGGGGTACAGGTACTCCTAGAATGAGATCCTAATAGGTTGGACTTGATGGACTAATGTCTTTATTCAACCTCAAATACTATGTAACTATGTAAAAAAGAAGATGTAATGGCTTATGTTAAAGAAAACTGGCCTTCATGTACCATCTGTGTTAATCAAACTGTGCCTTTTACTTTTTAACCTGCAGTGGAAAACTGACTAATGGAACCAGATTGTTCCTATGATCAATTTGGGCAGCTCTCAGATCCCCCGGGATATTGTTTAAGCTTTCTTCTGGCGTTACCCTTTGGCCAGCCACATAACAGATGTCCTCATAAACACTATGAAAAAAGCTTGCCATTGCCATAGCGGTCAAATTACAGCTGCCATATTATTAGTTCAGGTTAGACAAAAACAGGTCCTCATTGATTGGTAAATTGGGGCAATGCCTGCATTTTTCAGTTTTGGTTCTGTTATACACAAGTGCATCGAAAGCCAAAACTTTTTTTAATTGTATTTTTAGGAAGAATTAGAACCCCTGTCAGGTTTTATTGCCATCTTTGTCCCTGCTGGTGAGATTCATCCGC